GCTTTGGTTTTTAATTGATAACTTTCTCCCTGCCCTCCAATGACCACCAGGTAGAAACAGAGGGTGGTAGGGTTATACAGATACACAAACAGGTGATTCAAGGGTTTCTCCATTAGCAGCAGCTCAGAGTTTTCACTAATTAAGGGGTAGCAAATGCCACTGGGAGGTTTTCCAATGGAGAAACTCGGAAACTCATCTCTAAGGTGTAACATGTGGGGGAGTTGAGATTGGCCTTTGTCACAGATGACACGGGAGGTAAGGTAAGCAGGTTTCTGTGTACTTAACTCTCTGTTGGGGGTCACAGCCCAGATGGTAGGGAAATGAAAGGGATTTTAGAACGTTTGGATGCTCCTGGGGATAAACTCATTGAAAATCTGGTTAAATAAATGAATCAAGATATAACAGAATGGTAGTTTCACAGATGACAAAAATAGAGGCTCCTTGGGAATTTTAGCATACTTATCTGATTATGTGGCGATCTTTAAAGCCATGAGATCTCCCATAAACATTAACAAAACTTGTCCTGTTACATGAGGAAGCCCTGTAATCTCCTGCCATTTGCTGGCCGACTGCAAACTTGACTCACTCCCTTTGGGAGAATTACCCTAAACGGTGGTTACCCAACGTCAGTGAACATCAAGTTGGAGGACTAGTAAAAACACAGATCGCTGGGCCCTACTCTCAGGGTTTCAGATTCAGTAGATTTCCTGTTTTCTTTAATGGATTATAATCTCTTATAAGGATCATTTATTTTGACACTCAAAATTCTCCCCATTTGACAATGGAGGGGGGTCTCTTCATGCTGGATTCAGAAACCACTTGATATGTACCCATCACCCCTTGAACACGTTTTTCCTTTCTGGCACAAAATATTCTAGGCTCCTCTTGGACTTTGCCTGCCCCAGTCTTGGAAATGGACATTTTCCCTAGGAGCCATGTTCCTTTTAGTGGAGATTTGTTTTTCGGAATCAGTACCTGGGCTTTAGGTGTGCTAACTGCTAACTGGATGTAACTGCTTCCAGGCTCTGGGAGCACCTGGGGGAAAAGCTACAGCCTTTGTGCATCCCAGGATTCCTGTCTGTCCATCTAGTGTGGGACGGAAAATGTCCGAGCACCACCAAAGTCAGCTTCCCGGTCACCAGAGCACAACCCCTTCCAAACCTCTGGAACCCTACGCGAGACGGACGCCATCAGCGAACGGCAATCACGGGCCTCACGGCCAGTGCCTGCGGTCGCACTCTTCAGCTAAGACCATCCTGCAGATGCTCATGTTTTCAAAGCATCTTCCTCAGAACACTATCTCTGAGAGATTCTCCTCAGGAAGAGGATTCTGTGGTCAAATAATGCTGGGAACATCACAGTTCACAAGGTCTACCAGCATGTGAAAGGCTCTGAGAAATCCTGGAGTTGAAGAAAACAGTTACCTTTATATAATCTAGTGTCACCAAAATTTCCTTCACCACAGAGCTCCTGTTTAGAGAAATGAAGGCCCAAGGCTCATTTTCTCATGCAGTGGGCAAAAGTATCTGTTCTACGGGGTTACTGTACATACTTACAAAGGAGATAAAGAGACGTAAAAAGTGCATAGCACAGGACTTGGTATTCTTTTTCTTACATTTATTATTTATTAAAAATGGTTCCCTTTATTATTAAAGAAATAATAGATATATTTATTCTTATAATAATTGAAAAAACAATAAATGCATAATGTGAAAGCTTCAAATCATAAAGGGGGGTAAAATGAAAAATACATTTCTCCACAGATCCCATAGGTTCCCAAAAGGAATTTTTTAATGTGCACATTCAGACATTTTCTGTGCATATACATGTAGACATCTCAGAAACAGATATTTTTAAATTTATTCACAGTAAATGAGATAATGGATTCATCTTCATTTACTTTGTGCTTCTGCAACATTGCTGCTAAGTTTTTCCATTCTGGGGACACCAATATGTTTTTCTGAAACCCCTGGGTGAGGTAAAGGTTAGAGCTTATGTGCATGTTCCCTGAGCTGTACTTTGGTGAAGTGAGGGTTATAGAGAGTAGGGAAAAATATATAGTTATTTGGGGGTTGAAAAAATTGGCTTACATGTGTCCTCTTTTGTAAAACCTCTCCTCATCTACCAGAAACAGAACATTAATTGAAGAAGTAAATATTCTTTCTCTCTTCTTTCTCTTCCCTCCTTCCTTCCTACCTTCCTTCCTTCCTTCCCTCCCTCCATCTTTCTTTCTTTCTTTTCTTTTTTCTTTCTCTCTTAACCTCTCTCTCTCTCTCTCTCTTCCTTCCTTCCTTCGATGGAGAAGGGACAGAGAAGAACACGGGTCCCTGGGCAGGAGAGGGTCAGAACTGCAGCTACAGAGACACCAGCTGACAGTGACTCAGATGATGGATTCGTTTTCGAGAGCTGTTGTAACAAAGTGCTACAGCTGAGTGGCCTAAGCAACAGAAATCTCTCTCACTGTTCTGGAGACCAAGTCCAAAATCAAGCCATTGGCAGTGTCCACTCCTTCTGGGGGCTGGGAGGGAAGAATCTGTTCCCATTCTTTTTCCTTAGCTTGTAGATGGCTGTCTTCTCCCTGTGTCTCTTCCCATCCTCCTCTTCCCTCTGTGTGTACATGTGCGCAAATTTCCTTTTGCTATAAGAATACCAGTCATGTTGGATTAGGGACCACTCTGGTGACCTCGTTTTGACTTGATTATTTCTGTAATGACTGTCTCCACATAAGGTCCCGTTCTGGGGTACCAGGGGTTAGGACTTCAACATATGAATTTTTAGGGAGACACAATTCAGCCCATAATGGATGGATTTTCATAACTGACCCTGTGCCAGTAATGCTCACTCACCACTGTAGCTGTCAAAGTGAGGGCTCCTTACTGGACTCAGGTGTGGGTGTCACTCTTTGACACGCTTTGTTGGAGCACCTGCTGGTCTACCTCTGCTAGAGCATCCTAACAAAACACAGGCAGCTGAGCCAGAGGTGACCACCAGGTTCACTATCTCCTTAATTTCTTCTCTGTTTTTTAAATTTTTTGTTCCCTTCCTCACTTGCTTGTCAGGACGTTTACACTTTGACCCTGGGAGCTATTCCCTCCCTTTCACTTTATTGCCCTGAGTTATCTTCCTTTCCCCATAACTCCAATCCCTTTTTTCACGTTCTCGTTCAGTAAAGAACGAGGAAATCACAAGCAGAGTATGTGCCTTTTATTAGGTGATCTGAACTGCCTCCTGCCTTATTAACTTCCTGAATCCTAAAAAATGAGGACATCTGCCTGACAGAATCCTGAAAGAAGGAATTCTTTTTATTTTTTCAAATAGTTTCTGATTTAAATTCTTGGCTCAGGAAGAAAAGAAGCTGGTTGTTCTTCAACTCAGGAGTGGATTTGCGGTTTGGATTCCCCATGGCTTCCTGCCGTGCGTGTGACTTCAAGGCACTGGTGGCCATCGTGTGTGGGCTGCTGACCGCCATCATTTTGGGACTGGCCATCTGGAGGACTGTGATCAGGATCCAGAGAGGTAATGTCGTCCTGCCAGTTTTAACTCAGAGCAAGAGAAGGCGCTGAGCCTCTGTGCCTGCCATCTGACACACCAGTACTGGCAAGTGACATGTCTAGGCTGCAGCTGCCCACGTTTTATGCAATATAGAAGATGAGGGTCAATTGATGGCTAGCATATGGTTATGTATACATGAATGTGTGTGTGTGTGTGTGTGTGTGTGAGTGTGAGAGAGCAGGCTGACAAATGGCATGGTTGAATTGGCCTCTTCGTGCTCTTTTAACTCCTGACTAAATGAATAGCAGAGTAATAATTAAAATCATTAATAACATCTGTTCATGTTTGTTTAACTAAATCCAAGAAAGGAAAATAGTTATGGACACACACACACACACACACAGAAGTCCATGTACACACAGAACCAAACATGCTCAGAATGAAATTTCCTGTCAAGAAGGAAGTTTAGGAATGTTTTCACCAGGATTGTAAATGAAACAACCTTATATTTTGCACACAAAGTTCCTACTTTTCAGCTGTAGAAAATGACTTGAAAGTTAAGATCATTTAGAAAACAATTTTCCTGGTTATTCAACAAGTATTTGCCAGTCGCTTGCTGTCTGCTAGAGCTGACCCTGGGAAAGGGGGCATGAGGGCGGACGATGGTGTGCAACATTGATATTACAGGAAAGTCCCCAGAAACTCATAACAGAGAGTTTCCACAACCTAATACTGGCTCCCTTGTTCCCTGAGGGGTTGGACATAAAGGAATTCAAAGCCTGGTGTGCCGAGCACTCCCTTTTGTAAAACACAGAGACAGTTCTAGTGAAACTGAGTAAATAAGGGTAAATAATGCCCATCAAGAAAGGGCAGGAGAGGTAACTTTGGAGGACAGAAGGTTGGGGGAACCAGCAGGAGCAACGATGCAAGGCTGAGAAGATTCACTGTTGAAGACAAAAGAAGTCAAATATATTGGCTGCTGATGGAGTGGTAGCTGAGAATGGATCTGGGTATTTTTTTCCCTAAAGAAATACATGTAGAGAATACTGTATTAATAGGATTTAGAGAACTAGCAAAAGAAAATTTATCAGAACAAAAACAATGAAATTTAAAATTGGGGAGAATGTGTTTTTGTTTATTTAAGGTTTGTAAAATAGTTTGAAGTTTAAAAAAAACTATGAACTTCAAGTTTTACCCTGTTGAGGCTACTAAATGTATAAGGCCTTAATTAAAGGTTATACTTTTAAGAAATATTCCTGTCTTCCCCCTCTCTTGCCTCTTTCTTTTCCTTAATGACATCTACTTTGAAGGGAAATTTGTGGTGACTTATAAAGAACACAGGTACAATAGAACCATTGAAACAAGGATCAAAGTACAAAAACAGTATAAGGAAGAGGACAAAGTAGGGGATAGAAAGTATAGCACAGGAAACCACATCCAGTATCTTGTAATAACTTTTAATGAAAAAGAATATGAAAATGAATATATGTATACATATATGCATGACTGGGACATTGTGCTGTACACCAGAAACTGACACATTGTAAATGACTATACTTCAATTTAAAAAAAGCATATGAAAGTCAAAGGCTAGAAGGAATTGCTAAAAATAAATACAAAACATACCCCGTGCTTCCTGAGGACTAAGACCCAAAATGCCATGATAAAAAATAATGAAGAACCCACGGTTAACTATAACAGCATACCAGCTCCACAGAAAAGACAAACACTTCCATGTTCTGAGCAAATTTTTTTCTGGTGGCTCTTTACATAAGGGAACATCCCTCCGTTTGGGGGTAAACCCAGCAGATAAGGAGGGGGTTATTGCTGTCATTTAGAGAGAAAGTGAATATTGCGTGCTGTTACCATTTTGCCTTACACATTGTTTCAGATTTTGTCTTAGTTGGTAAATTCTGGTCCATCCCACTCCACTGTCATCTGCCCCTTTCCATCCCATCTCATCTCATCTCATCTCATGTGTCTGCTGGAAAAAAAAAAAGCACAACCTGAGAGCTGCGTGTTAAGTTTAATTTGGGGCAAAATGAGGAGTACAGCCCAGGAGACAGCATCTCAGACAGCTCTAAGGCAGGGGAAGGCCAGTATATATATGACTCCAGTGAAGGGAGGGACGTGCAGTCAAGCACACGTTTAGGCAGAGGCTCGCTGCTAGTCATGAGGAGCAGATGTCACCATTAATAATTTCAGTGCTTTTCTAGATATGAGGAGATACAAGAATTTGGGCTCACAAAAATCTCCTGAAAATGTTACAGAAGGCAAGTTTTTGTTCTTGACACACCATGAGGCCCGGCAGACTGAAATGTCAGCGTTTGGAGTGGAGAAATGTTTATTGCAGGGCCAAGCACGGAGGACAGGGTGGCTCATGCCCAGGAAAACCCCAAACTCCCCGAAGCGTTTCAGCAGAGCATATTTAAAGGCCAGGTAAGGAAGTGAAGGCACAGGGTAGAGATCAGCTGTGCACAATTCTCAGCTTGGTTGATGTTGAGGTAACAGGAAGTCAACACTATCAATCCATAGGCGCCAGAAGGTCTGGAGCTACTTGCTCTCTATCATCAAGTAGTTAACTTATTCCCTTTGGTAGTGGTTTTTAGCATCTGAAAAACTCAGGAAATATACATGAGATACTATTAGAAGAGAGGACATACAGCAGAGGTTACGGGGGAGAGGTCTGTCCCAGGAAGGCCCCACAGGGTCCTGCTCAGTTACAAAAATATCTATCTGAGGGCCTATTCTGCCAGTTTTCCCCAGAGCACGGAGTGACTCATCCCTGATCTCCACCCTGGACTCCTGTCAGGGTGTGTTGAAAGTCAGTGACTGCAGTTGCTTCTGACTTAATCCTTAAAGAGGCAGATGGCAGGTGCCAATTTTTAGTTGGCACATGTAAGTATTGAATAGTCTTGCTTTGCTTTCTTTGTCTGGGTATGGAGATGAATTGCTTTTAAATTTATTTGTTAAGGAGAGGGTCATGGATATCTCTGAGAAACTGATGAAAGCTATAAAAATATACATGAACACATACACATACAATTTGGGGTAAGTTAATTTTATCACATTCAAAATTTATTTTCAGTATAAATAATATGTTTATATTATTTATAATTAATATGTTTATAAAAAATTATGTCTTTCTCTTTTTTTTATGAAAAAGTAATGGCTTCCCTGTAAAAAAAATTGAAAAAATTTTAAATTCTGCTCTAAGTAACTTTCAATTTGAATCAAAGCTGCTATTGGTTGAGTATAGAATGAACATTAATGTGGCTGTATGCTATTTGCGTATTTCATTATTATAAAATGTACAATTGAGGGTTTTTTTTCTTTTATTTTGTTTTTACTGTATCCTAGGTACATGCTAAAAACTTCACGTGTCTTATCTCATTTAATCCTGACAACCACCTTTAAGGTAGTTACTATTATACCCACGTTATAGATACTTGGCTTTCATTTTACTCAATCGCAGTACTCCCTCAAGAGCCAACATGATATAAATCAAACTCATCTGACTCTTCTGGAGGACAGGTGGTATTTTGGGGTTAAAAAAGAGTCCAGAGAAGTGTTTTCAGGATGGAAGAAGTTGGGTTTTAGGCAGCTGTAGCGTTATTTAGTCTTAATCCTGCTATTGTAAATCTCTCTTCCACTCCTTTATCAATTTCCTGTCTTATGCCCTCTTATAATCACTTGCTAAATCAAGAAAAATAATTCCTATGAAAGGGAAGTGTTTCTGTTTCTGTTTTTGGAAGAGATTTTGTTGTGTAATTGGCTGAGGGGCGTGAATTATTTTAACATCAGAATTACTGGTGTTTAAGTTGCTGGTCTAATTTTTAAAGTCATTTTCTTAACTAAAGAGGCTAGAACATTGGCTTATGGGACTTTTCCTTGATTTCCAGGTATTAAATATTTTTAGTTGGAATTCTGAATACAACCCCATGTTGGGGGACACAGCTGGGCTGGTGACGCAGGTTGGTAAAAAGAATTTACCAAAGGCAAGGGACAGTTTAAGAACAAAGGAATGTTTAATAGGTTTGCTGCTACAGGCAACAGCAGGCCACACAGGCAAGAGGTTCATGCGTGTCCACCAAGTGTGAACGTACAGGGTCTTTTATTGAGGAAGGGGCTGTGAACCCAAAGGAATAGGGGAACAGCCTTCTGACTGGCTATCAGTGAGGTAAGGGGCTTTGGCATGTGGAGGATAGTGGATTTACGATTCCAGTAAGATGGAAACATGGACTAACACAAGCAAGGCAGTGGAATTTATGATTCTGATAAGGAGGAGACAGGGGCTGAGACAAGTCAGCCTGAGCTGTGGGGAAGCTAGTTATTTCAGGGCTGTCAATTTGCTAAGGCAAACACCTGCCAGGAGTTTATCTCCCAAAGAGGAGCAGGCAGTCGCCTAAGGGCTGGAAGGCTGGGGATCACAGGGCCTCCACACGCACCAGTTGGCACTACACCCCATCCATGGATCCTTGGTAATGTTGCTGGTGGATGTAACCAGTGTCCAGGTTCTTGTCCTGCCCCAGAAAGAATTCAGAGATGGGACATGTAGGTTAAGAAAGTGAAGTGGGGATTTATTAAGGAATAGTTGTTACACTCTCAAGGGGAGAGCGAGCAGGCTCAGGTGAGCAGCTGCCCTGAGTTTCTTTGGTAAGTTGGTTACATAGGCTGTAAAAATGAATAGGCAGAATTTTCATTGTGGAGGGAAGGGTTTGGGGTCGTGTTCCCTGATTTTCACCCTAACTCCACCTTCCCCAAGGAAGGAGGGATTTTTGTCCTTATTTAGTCTGGATCAGAAGTGTCATGGCATCGGTGCATGATGGGTACTTCTAATTTTATTGACATGAGGGCATAGTGAGCAGGAGGTTACATTCAGACACTATAGATTCCTGCCGTTTTCCACGTTTCTTGGTTGGCCTCCAGGCCACTCATCACCCCCAAAAGTGTGACCACTTAGCCCAGAGGTTCCTGCTTTTCTTTTTCTATCCAAGGACCCCTGGTGCTTACATGGTGTGTGG